CTAGATTTTAAACTGTCGGTAATGCACATATCTTCTGAAAAACATCAATAGAGTATATTATTATACATCTGTCACCGTAACGCCATAGGTTACAGCGTGCCGTAATTTTGTGGCATTTTAAGGGGTATTTTTATCCTACCATATAATGCAAATTCCAAATAGGGAATGATTACGCGCGTAAGCGTCCTCTAATAATAAATACAAAACATTGCTGCCATCAGAGTTTGACCGGACTCCGCACAAAGAAGTTCGCTGATTTTGTACTAAACTCCATGGATTTCGGCATTCCCATGATGTATCCTTGGAAGGAAAAGATGTATAATAATAAGGTTATTACGAGAATACCTCAAAGTATGCACTAAGACAGTACGCCGCGTATCGGCAACTGTACTTCTTGGAATGGGTTATACAATTATAGCCTTCGATGTTGTAGGTGGAATCGTGTAAAATCACAACAAGACCGAGTGACGTCTATTGCATGTGTTCACAACAGCGAGAATTATACCTGTTAGACATGGGAAAACCTTAAATTACCGACTTATGTCACGACAAAACGGAGAGAAAGGCAAGATTATGATCGCAATTTTCGCCGCATGTACCACAACTTTACGGAGCCGCATCTAATTTACATGAACATAAACAAGTATATTGACACATTTGCTATTCGCTGACAAATAATTCAATACAAGTTAAGATTACGTTAAGTTTCGTTGACAACCTGGGGAAGTCCCTAATAGTATACGCGTCAGGTTATCTGCTATCCGTTTATTCAAAGCTGTACAGTTTTAACAATGGTTTATACATAAACAGTGTTTTTTTTCAGTATATGGAATTGGGAGCGAATTGATTGCAAATGCTTATGATCATAAATATATGTTTTGTAACACAATAATGTGTATGTGTTGTATGTTTCTTAGCAGTTTAGCTATTTTGTTTAGCTATCATCTTAAGATAAATCAGTGATGTAATATCCCGCAGTTATTGTCGGTGTTGATTGCTCCTTTAAATCCATGTGGCTCTTTCTCCTTTTTTTTTTTATAGAACCTCTGTTGATTTTTTGTCTGTCAGTGTCAACTTTACAATTCTTACTATTCTTATTTATACTCACTAAAATGTACTGTGGTTGGTTCTTGTTAATGTTGTGAAGATGCCTTCAATAGATCATTTTCCGTTCACTGCGAGAATCACGCGTTATGCGTGAAATCAAACGTAAAAACAGAACAAACAAAGTCTGTCATGCATCTCGCGAGATCTCGCAATTGTACGGAAAATCACCTATTCCAAAACTTTTGTGAATGTTTTTCTCAAAAAATGGCTAACCCAATTGCTTTGATATTTTATATGTGGACACCATTAGTGAATCAGAATATTTTATTTAGTGTCAATAATTTCAATATTCTCATTTTAGTGAATCTTCTTGATATCTTGTAAATGGCTTGACTGATTGATTTGATTTTTGCCGTAGTATTACATGGATTACAATTATAGAAACAGATATGAAAAAAGCACATTATATAATAACAATGTTGTCTTGTCCTTATCTAGATATTGATGAATGCTTACCAGATAACGGTACTTGTCCACAAAACT